GCTTATAGCGTCCTATGTTATCAACTGCATGTTGACGCCATATTTTTGAGCATCATGTTACCTATTTTTGGGAGCTTTATCCAAGCAGTCGTTGTGCACTTACAGTGCCCTATGTTATTAACTGCATGTTGACACCATATTTTTGAGCGCCATATTACCTATTTTTGGGAGCTTTATCCAAGCAGTCATACTTCAGGACCAGAAAATAAATTATATAAAGTTCTTAAGAACTATTGGAATAATCTAGATACTGAAAATCAAGATTTAAAAAGATTATCAACTCCTATTGATTCCTGGATTAATGATGGATAAAATTAGCACTAAAGTTTTAAGAAGGTGAGTAATAAAAGCTTTAATTCTTATAATTCTTAATAATTAAAATTAATTCAATTAAATCTAATTATCCCTTATTATTTCCCAAAAATAGTATAGTAAAGTAGTACTTAGTAATATATAGTATAGAAATAGTATGTGAAGAAGTACTTCACTTCTTTACATACTATTTCACATAATTTTCCAGTTTTATAATTTTGTATTAAAGTATTTAAGTTATAATAACTTAGAAAAAAAAATTGTTTAAGATGGAAAGTTTCGTAAAGATTATCAGGAATTGGCTGAACTTACATTGACACACACCGACAGATTTAAACTTCACAATCCTGGAGCTTTGTCATGCCAGATTCATGAGTAAAAGTTTATTTTACCTAAAACTGTTTCTACTTAGGGAAAAAATACCTGAAATCAATGAAGAGAGCAGGGATAAAATCACTAAAACAACAAAGTTTTTTTCCATTTTTTATACTGAATGATTTCTTAGAGCGGAGCTAAGTTCAGCTACTCTGACACAGGTACACGGTCTAAATAATTATTTTAAAATAAAGATGCCTATTTTATGCATTTACTGTGAGTAAATGCATAAAATAGGTATATTATTAATATTATTATTATTTTTTTTTTTTTTGAATTTTTCATGCTATATTTTGCTATACAATGTTCTTATATCTGAAGATATTGTTGGCTTAGCATAGGAACAGCCACAAATAGTCATTAAGACTAATCCAAAGTAGCGTCCGTTATTGAACAACATTTTTGCATACCGAAGTACTACTCAAGCGCTGAGTTGGCGGTGGCAGGATTTGAACTCGTATCTTACAACAATCTGGGTTTAAACTTTTTGTTTTACGCTCTAACCAACTAAACTATCCAGCCATTTTAAATTAAAAATTTATATATCTATGTCTTAACTATTAGGATATAAAAGGATAGCCAAAATTTGCCAAAAATTGACCCTTTTGCCCTCTGTGGGGACCTTTCCGATGTTCAAAAAAATTTTTGTAAAAAATTTTAAGTACTAACTTAGGGTCAGGGCAGATCTAGGGCTCTTTTCAAATTTTTGACATGACCTTTTTTTAAATAACCCTTAATATATATATATATATATATATATATATATATATATATATATATATATATATATATATATATATATATATATATACGCACTATTTTGGTAATATAATTAGGTAATTAACTGAAATAAATTCTGCTAAATATACAAATATTGTAACAATAAGTTAATTCTTTCAACTATATGACTAAATGAAAAGCTATTCACTAGAAACATTTTTTTAAATCATTTATATAAAATAAATGGAATAAACTTTCAATCAGATTTAAAACTATTTATAGTATATATATATATATATATATATATATATATATATATATATATATATATATATATATATATATATATATATATATTTATATATATATATATAAATATATATATATATATATATATATATATATATATATATATATATATACATACTATATATATATATATATATATATATATATATATATATATATATATATACTATATACATCTACGAATAAATATTTAATAACCAATAGCAAATATTTTTTTAAACATACAGTTAGTTAACTTATGCCTCCACGATAATTGTAAGCTGTGAAATAAAAAAATTGATATAGATTCTGATTTTTTTGATTTATATATCTAAAGAAATAACACTTTTTTTATAACATATTAGAATTTAGCAAATTCTATAATTCAAACTCTTCGTTGAGTTTGTTGGTTGTTATCAACATAAACTCAGCGCAGTTATTCCGTATTCAAATTTTCTTAAAAACAATTGTTGACATTTATCGTTTACCGGACAATTTATAAACGCTGTTAAGGTCGACAAGAAAAGTAATCACGTGAGCATATTTGTAATTTAGTTTTCCCGCCTATTAATTCTCAAATTTTGACGTATAGAGCAATCAACAAAACTTACAGTTAATCTAAAAAAATTATCAAAAAAAGAAAAACTAAAAAATTTAAAAAAGTTTTTTTTAAGAATTATATTTCCATTTTCGAAAATTTGTCATGTACATTTGTTTAATGACTTTTGTCATAATATTTGTCTATAATTACGTCAATAATTATATTAAAATTATTTACGTGCATATCTTTAATTGTTTACTACGAAGCCAAGTAAAAATCATTATTATATTTAGTGACCAACAAGTGGAGCAAATGATAGTTTTATGTTATTTACTACTTTATTTGCATAAATATTCAATTAATTTGAAATTATATTAAGGTGGTAGACTGCTAAAAAAATTATTTTTGTATTTTACAATATTTCAATAAATTTTTTTACTTCGAACATGATAAATACATTAGAAAATTCATAATTTTTAATTTTTTTTTTTTTTCCATATATATTTTGGGCAAAAACAGGTGATTTTAGGCCAAAAACAGGCTAAAATCTTGGCAAAGATATCTCAAAAAGTATAATTTATTAAGTTCTAATTTTTTGTATTTTTATTTTTTTTATGTAGATAAATGTCTTGAGATAAAAATTTTTGTTGAAAATTTCTTTATTTTAAAGCATCGTTAGATTTTTCAAAGCGCCCAAATAATAATCGAATTTCTGATATTAAGAACAAAAAGTTTGTTGTTTTAAAAGTTTATATTCTAAATTTTTTTTTATCTCAGGACATAAAGCTTATTATAATGAATCTCTGTACAAAATTTAAAGTCAATTGGACAATTACAGCTCCTGCAATCTTTGCCAGAAAATTAGAAGAATAAAACAGAAAAAAAAGCATATAAAATTAAAAATATTGAATATACAAACTTATTAAAATCCCCCTTTTTTATATACTGCTCTTCTTAATTTTTGTTTTTTTTATCAAACCCTTTCCTAGTTGCTTTAAGATTTTTTCTTTGTTTTTTAATTTTTTTTTTTTATTACTAACCTTAACTAGCGGTTGCTATGAGCGTTGCTAGGGGAAACAAAATTAACCTACTAATATAAATCACTTTTATTAGTTCTAAATTTTTTTTCTCATACGAAGATCTATATATTTTTAGACTCTATATCAGTTACTGTTTAAAACAATGCCACTTTTGAAAAATCGTTTTTTCTAACTTTTTTAGCAGTCTACCACCTTAAAGGTTGCAGTGATTTATCTGAGTTTTAAAAGCTCAATAACAAAAAAAAATCTTGTACTTGACCAAATCAGAAGTCGATTTTTCAAAAATTACTCGTCTTTAGCATAAACAAAACTAAGAAATTTTTTTTGCAAATGCATGAAATGTAAAAGCTACCATGTCAGGAGCTGGCGAGAAAAAGTTGCCACCATGTCAGTTCTTTACAATGTAAATGTTTTTGAAAAGTGACTTTAAAATCAGACTAGTTGTGACTTTAGTGACTAAAGTGACATTAAAATTAGACAGAAATATAATATTTTTTCACCCAGCTAGTTAAACGCAAAACATTGAGAAAAACAAAGAGTTTAATTAAAGCATCATGTCTGACTTTAAAGCATAAAACACTTAAAAATCCATCTACACTTCTACAGATTTAGGTATTGAGTCGTTTATCCAAATAATCTTCCCATAAGCTTTCTGTTTTTTATGTTAAAAGTTTACTTCTAGTGTTGTTAATTTTATTAATTCTAATCTTTTTTCATGTGACTTTTTTTTAAAGCCGATACTAGTTTTGTGGTTCTTCTTTAACGTCTTTAACGTCTTATTTCAGATAAGAACACCATGCTTAAATAGCAAACTCAAAATGTGGTCTTATTAAAGTTGTATATAATATTTTTGTAATATAAGGTTCCAATTAACTAATCATTTAATAAAATTTGAAATTGGCGGTTTCATTGAGTTCTCGCATCAATATCGTTGAATTGTGGGAAGCACTATCAAGAGTTGCACCATTAGTAATTAGAAATAGTGGAAAGTGATCAGTTAGATTGGTTTGACCCCCCCCCCCCATGCAAGACCTCTTCGGGACGGCCCTGTTCTTACCGCTTTGCTAATAGTTGAGATGAAGTTATATTCAAAAAGAGTATTAATAAAATATGTTACTACTTGCATGATTAAGTAAATCAATGTATACTAGCAGTAAACAACCCGTAATACGGCTTGTTAGTAAATAAAATTAAAAAAAAACACTGCGTATAAAAAAGTCTAGAAACTAGAAAACCTAGAAAATGACGTAAGTCGACTATTACTACTATTAAATTAGCGTATTAATATTATTAGATGTCCTCAAATACGTAATCATGCTTACGCGATATATTATTTTTGGTTTCAAATGTGTTAATATAAATTTTAAATGTTATCTATAAATAGTACGGATAAAGAGGTTTTTAGCAAATTTGTTTATTATTTCAGCGCATGACAATTAGTTTAACGCGTAACAATTACTTCAACGCATAGCAATTAGCAATCTCGCTTATTTATGTCAAGATTTGTAAGTTGAGTAAATTCAATAGAATTAACTCTATACGTAATATTTGCGTAGATGGGTGGTTTGAGCTTTTTGATTCACAATTAAATGTGAATAAAAATGCCCACACCACCATCAACGCAAATGTTAAGCATTTGATGAATTGATTCATCATTTTTTAAATCAAAATTTTCATTTAAATTTTCATTTCATTTGTTTTTTTTCATTGGTTTTAAGCCAAGTTTGTGTGACACAAGATGTTTTAAATCGTAGTTAAATTCACCCAAATAAACATTTGAATTGTCCGATTCCTGGCAGATTTTTAAAGTTAACTTTGAGTTAACCATTGATTATTTATATGCAGACTTCCGAGAACGATTGAGTATATGTTTTTAAATTTTTTTGTTAAGTGCCTCAAGAAAATTTAACATTTGTTAAGGTATTGTCACAGAGCACCGCAGAAAAGCATTTAACTAGAGTTTACGCCTTCTTTCTTAGCGATGGCGCGAAATACACACAGAGCTTGCTTAGTTAACTTAATAGTTGACCCCTAAGTCACACTCCATATTTATTGTTCCAAGTCCTTTTTGATTGCCGTCTATATCAAGCTTGGAGAACAAGCTGTCTTTTTCAGCGAAGAAACTTTGCATTTATTGAAGTTAAAATACTATGAGCCACTTTATAGGCTATTCAATAGCATGATTTATCGCGACCCGAGTGCTTATTTATTCTTATATCTCCATTTTAAAATGTTGGGAGAAAATATTAAGTGATCTTATAAAGGTAACAACTATTTATGCAATAAATTTTAAATTTTAATAATAACTATTGAAAATATTATTTGCTATTAAAATTACTAATTATTTATAAGAAAAATTTTACTGTCATCTGCGTAGATCTATACTCGATGCGCCCTGTTGTCTACGCTTTAAATTGTTTTTTCTCAAAGCAATGCAATCGTCACTTGTTCCCCTTAGCTTCTCACCCCCTCATATCTATTTGTTTTAGATTTTAACTAATTTAAATTAAAAAAAAAAAGACAATAACGAAAAGAAAAAAACTTTGGAAAAGATATCTTTATTGAACAAGTTTACTTTTTCAACTGTTCGATTTAAGGTTTCATTTCAAAAAAAAATTTTAGACAGAATTTATATTTTTTCAAACTTCTCGTTTAGATGGACCTTTATCCGGCTTTTATATTTAAGGCTAAATTTGTAAAATTTAATGAGTAAATTTGTAAAGTCTAATATTCAAATTAAACCGGTAAATAATTGCACCTTGATGCAAAGACTGTTTTTTTTGTATTTCGGTTTTTTAATCAAAAACTATTTTGCTCTGCATGTAAAAGTGTGAAGAATCTCATTGCAGCTAAAAGGCATTTTTCTTTCAAAGTACTTCTGCTGTTTAGTAAAGAAATCTCAGCAGATACAAAACCTTTGTTGGACGTCGTACGGACTTGTGACGCCTATAAAACGTTGTACAGACGTCTTACGGTCGTCTGTGCCCGCAGGGATTCTTTCGCTAGATTCATTATTAATGAGTCTGGAATTTTCTTCATAGTCAGATTTGTTATCACTTTTAGTATATTTATTTATATTAATTTTAACTAAACAGCATCATTTTGACACTTTAGGGATATTTTTCTTATCAGAATTGTTTGTTTTGTCCTCAAACTTTAGGGTATTTTTCACCTACAAAACCAACTAAATAGTAAGATGTGGTGAATTCAAAACTTTTTAAAAATTCATTTAACCTGGGTTAGTGTTGCGAAAGTAAAATTTTCGGCAAAATTTACTGGAAAATTTTAAAAATTTACTTATTTTCATTTTTCTTCAAAAAAAAATTATTTTAGGGAAAATTTACCCTCTACGATTTAGAATTTACCGGTAAATTTTGAATCAAATTGCACCGGAATTTTTACTAACCTGGGTGTGTATTAGCTGTCCATTCATATCAAAAAGTTCTTGAAAAATTTCAATATTCTAGGAAACCCTCTTTAGGTACCGCATGGTCTTTAAAAATTTAACGGATTTAACATATTGGGTCTACAATGAAGCAAAATTTTATAAATGTTTCAAAAACAAGAATTTTGTTAAAAAAAACTTATTTTTAGTTTTACTGCATTTCAATTAAGATCTTTTAACTAAAAATGAAAAACTTTTAGAACGAAGAGTAACAAAAGCTGTAACTATTTGCAAGTTTTTTTTCTAAATAATAATTATTTTTTATATGTATTTTTATAAAATGATTATTATAATTGTAACTTTTATATAATTTTGCTTCATTTGAGACCCAACATGACATACTTTTGAAAAACGTTTTTTCCAATAATATTAGAGATCCATTAAATTTTCAAAGAGCGCTTCAAGATTTTCTTCGAGCATTTTTCCAGATTATTTCTCATGCAAATGGAGAACTTTTCCACGCTCAAGCTAAATAGAGTTCTAAAATAAATAAAAAATTCACCGCACCCTACTGAACAGCTATATGAATTCCATAAGTACATCAAGTTTGATGCTTAATAGAAATAATTTTTACATAAATTAATCATCATTGAAGCTCAATCAGTAACATCACTGATAACAAAATCACCATCATTGACGGAGCAAACAATACAATCAGCCAAATTCAGTTCAAATTCCTCCACTCTCTCTAAGATCATTTTTGCTGCTTTAACATTAAGAAGAGACCTACGAAGAAGAGACCTACGAAGAAGAGACCTAGAAATACGAGTCCAAGATTCCAGTATTTGTTTTCTGGTGAATGTTAATGTTTAAAAACCTTTTATTTTTCAAGCAAGCTTATTCATCCAATGTAATGAGAAAACGTTTTCCATTTAACAGCAATAAACCTAATTTATCTTTGAGCTTGTTTTTTATCATTTGCAGTATAGTTTTTTAGGGTTTTTCTGTATTTTCGGAAAATCATAACCTTTTTCTATCTTCGCTGACTGGATGAGTGTGAATTTTCTTAAATCCATCCAGAGCTGTTAGTGTTGAAATTACTTCTCCAATCGATGCCTGAAAAAAAAATTTTGGGAACTGCTTTTGTCGAAGAAATTTTTTGATATCTTTTATTTTTTCGAATTTTTTTATTCTTTATTTCTTCTGTATTTGGCTAGACTGAGCAAAATATATATTTTTAAAACAAATAACAACAATTTTACTCCATTATTATTTTATAAATATGCTTTTTAAAAATATATATTATATTCCAATATTATTTCATAAATTAAATTTTATTTCATTATTATTTCATGATATTTTATTCCATTATTATTTCATAAACTAAAAATTTCATTAGTTGCAGAAATATGAGTGTTTAGTCATAAAAGTTTAAAAGCAAAAAATCAATTTTTTAAACTTTACCAATTTATCGTTAAAATTTAGTGACAAAGTGGTAAACAAATTTAACGATAAATTGGTTAAAAAAAAATGCTCAAGCCTATAGAGTTGAGCTCTAGCTATTTATCAACTTTTTACTTTTTTTATGAATTTAATATATATATTTTTTACTATTACCTTTACAGTTTATTTTTGTTATTACTTTTACAAATACAGACACTCTGACAGTACAATATAGTATTGTAGAAGTGCCTCCTCGTATTCAAATCTTAAATTGCTTAAGCTGTTGATTGCGAAGGGAAGAAACAAAAGTTTGTTGGTGTCAAGTTGGGCGAGTTTGAGAGTGAGAAAACACTTCTCAGCCACTTATTAATAAGTTTTTCCGCGTTGATTTTGCAATATGATGATGGGCGTTGTCATGGAAAAGTAAACCTTTGTTGCTCAACAGGCATTTTATAAGGAGTTCCGTTTGAAACTTGTTAAGTTGAGCAGGTAGGTTCCAACATACAAACATTGCAATGCAGAACATTTGTATTTAACGCCTTATTTATATTTAAATCGTAAAACCTTCTCTGAACTTCATGAATGGTTTTATAATTTTCGTGGAATTTTTTTAAAAATTGGTTATCAAGAATGATAACTCTTACGATTTTTAAAATATTTTAAAAACAACCTAATTAATTTTGATCGTTTTTATTGTTTAAAAGCAAATTTATTACCAATTACAGTAAATTTTTTAAAAAACACCATCTTTAAGCTTACATTTTACGAAAACTGTTGCCAAAACCTGTTAAGAAATTAATGTGATGTAGTTTCTTAACAATTTTTGGCAATAGTTTTTGTAAAATCTTGTGATGCATACCCTAGGTTTGGTGAAACTGATTGGCCTCTGTCGCTTTTTCAGCCTTCTTATGCAGCTTATGTTTCCAAAAAATTTTTTTTCAATATTTTTCAATTAGACGAAGTTATAGCATGTTTTCTGGATTCACGTCTTCAAGCGAAACATTGAAGCTTGTCTTATACCATAGAATTACAATTTTTAAGTAATGAGAAAGCTCAATTCAGAAAATAAGAGAATAATTATGTTTTTAAATCACTGACAACAGTCACTTTTCTAACAATCTTTTATGTAAACATTTGAGTTTATGTTTTCGTTCATAAAAAATGGCTAAGTTTTGAAATTACACAAACAGATGGCTTGCTAAACCATAAATTAACCATAATTTAACTGGTTTTTTGGCGTTTACTAAATTTCTGTAAAGATTTTCTATGAAATTTTTTTATCCTGTACATCTTGTAGTTACATCTTTTTTTGATTTCTCGGATATTCAACTTCGGAACACCTTTTTTTTTTTGATACCCTTAACGGAATACTCTGTATTTGCATCATTCCCCTTAATCGTTTTTTGATTTTTTCCCCCCTTTCTTGGTTTCTCAAATTTCCATTTATTTAAGACGAATTTTTTCATTTCTATATTAAATCTCGCTAAAACGATATTTTTTGTAACTTTCCCGCTAAAATAAGACCTAACGTAACTTTTTTGCTAAAGCGAGATCTAAAGTAAATTTTTCGCTTAAACAAGATCTAACGTATTCAAAATTTAACCGTTTTTTTATTAAATTTATTTTGAAATATATTATAAAGTAGTAATTACTTCAAACATTTGCCGATAAAAAAATTTAACTCCGCAAAGGCGTCTTTAGTCAAACTTTTTGTTTTCGTTAAAGATATTTTTTGTATAATCTTGACATTCGTTTTTTTTTTTCATTATTGACATTATCAGCATTTCAATACTCTTCGTTTAAAAATTCTTCCAATTTACTAAGTACGAGCAGATTCTAGCATTATTGCTGGACCCTTGTCTTTTTGAACCTGAGTTATCTTTTGTGTTTGTAGCCATTCTGTGACCAATTTAGCATAGTGCGGTGAAACTAAAGCCAGCCAAAGTATAGATTTACTGTTTCTGTAATGTTATTAAATGTATGTTGAAACCGCTTGATTGTACATTTGTTGAAGAAATCTTTTTTGTTGATACCCATTCGACTTGGTCAAATGTTAATTTTTCTTATTTTTTTAGTAAAATTAATATGATTTATCAAAATCGACTAAACAAAAACTTTTGATTCATTTTTTTATACTTTAGTATTTAACAAAGTTAAAATTCCGAATCCGAGTTATTCCGAGTCATTGAGTAATATAAAATCCTTTTTGTTATAGACTTCTTTGTACTTTTCAAATTTGTTTTATGGCTAGAGTTAATTTTTTTTTGCTTCTCTCAACAAACTCTTCTCTCCTTGATTGTTAACAAGAGATATTTGATCATTTTTATTTTGTCTCTCAAGTGATTTAAATAATTGTCGAAATTTGATAATCCTAAAAACAAATAGCTTGGAGCAATTTTTTGCCCACAACTGGTTTGCTGCAAACAATTTAATGCT